AAGAACAGACAAATGAAAGTTCAAATTTGTGGATAAATTTGAGGCAAGCCAACACAGTTGCATTGTGCCTGGCAAACTTGAACAAATATTTTCTTATGAATAATGCTCACAACACATCAGGAATCCCTTCCTAAAGTAGCTTCAGTGCCACCTAAGGTCGTATGTAAGAGTTAGGTTTCTCATGAAAATGCTTTTTCTGTAATTTGTTTCTTCAGCAATCAAGATAGCTACTTATAGTTCTTTTTTTTTATTCATGTTGCTGCCATTTTGTCCTGAAATGAAACAGCAAGTTTTTTCCTTGCAAGGCTTTTATTTTCCCTTTCTGAAATAGTAACTGAGTAGTAAGATCAACTTTCTGCCTGTGGAAAATGCTGGCTTGACATCCATGAAGAAAGGAGTAGGCTCAGTAGAGCCAGCTTTTCCTATAATATTCCCTGCCAGTGAATCTTAACTTTATTATGAATCAGCCACCTTTTAACACGTATGCTGCATCTCTGACCAATTAAGTCCCTGGCCTCTTTGCTAGACTGATGCTAAGGATGTTCAGATCTCTAGGTTGTTAAGAAACTTTTCCACTCCTTAACTATGCTTATAAGGTAGTAACGCTCCTTTATCCATTGGGCAATTTAGATTTCTGGGCCTTTGCAGTGATGAACCTGAGTTATTTCCTCACTGTCCCCATGACATTTTAAAGGTCACCTGGGCACAGCAAATTGGCCATCCTAGATCACTGGACAATAGATCTTGCTACAATAGTTCTGTAAGATTTAAGAGATTCTAGTGACTCTGTAACTCCCACCACTGACTGTTTACAGAGTTTATGCAGATTCCTCATTTGCCCACACCTGTTCCTACAAGACACAATTATGTCCTGCAGTTAATGAGACAAGCTTCTTAATGTGAACAGGAGAAAAATACTTAATCATACTAGTGCCATATTAGCAGCAAGTAGGAGGGCAAATGGCTAGATTACATGGTGATAACTCTACTGGGGGGAAGGGGAGGTAGGGAAGAGTGATTAGGAGACAAGAGAAGCTGGTCAGAGATGGTAAACTACACAGCTTGTTCAAGGTGGAAAGGTTTCTCCAACCTCTACAATAGACAAGTCTCAGACAGACTTCTGTTCTCTAATGTTATGGTGATTCCATGAATACAAGGAATTAAGTTTGTCAGTGGTCTGAGAATTTTTCCATGCCTTGGTACCAAAATGGCAGATTTTCATTTTTCCCATTTTAAATAGAAGATATATCTCTGTATCTATATAGATATATCTCTATTGATATTTATAGATTTTCCTTTTAAAAGAAAAAAGTGAAAAGTGGCCGTTTCAGTACCAAGGCCATTGAAAAATATATATGATTTATATGAGTCTGTGTGTGGACTTGCTACATAACATATAAAAAAGAAAGCTATATGGAATATATCTAGATAGAAAGTCCACACAGAATTGTAGAAATATAAGGCTAGAAGACATATCAAAAGAACATCTAGTCCAGTTCTCTGCACCGTTTCAGGATCAAGTATACTTAACTTATGCTGGGCAGATGTTTGTCTAACCTGATCTTAGAAATCTCCTGTGACAGGGATTCTACAACCTTCCTGGATAGCCTGTACCAATGTTTCAGCACCCTAACAGCTGGAACGGATTTAATCTTTGTTACAAATGTCTTCTTTTTTCCTTCCCTATTATCCAGGTAGCACATCTGTTCTCCACTCCCTTTCTAACAACCTTAACCAATGTGGAAGATAGTTCTATCACACTATCATGTAGCCTTCTCTTTTCTCAAAAGAGTTTTCTTTAACACCCATGTAATTCCATTGGTTTAATTAGGTTACCACCTATTTATATCAGAATTGGGTGCAAGGTGTATTATTGCAACCAAACTCCTAGTTTAGGTCTCAGTGATCCTCTTCTAACGTCCTGAGGATCTGACTTGGGCCAATTTTCATTAACTTTTAGTCTATGGAAAAATTGAGGTAGGAGCTTATTTTTTTGGCTCATCCATGGCCTGACTTAGATAATCAATACCATTCTTTAAAGACAAAAGGGGAAATGTCAATGATTTCAAGGAGAGTTGTGTACAAGAAAAGTCAGAAATAGTGTCAAATGTAGAGTAGATCTCCCCACTTGTTCAGAACTTGAAGACTGCAGTAGTTTGAGTCTGATTTTATAGATGTTTTGTGGCTATGTTCAGCAGGAAAAAAAATAAGTTGTTTCCTATTATTTCCTTTCATGCTTGTTTGTTTTGTATTTTAAAAACTTAGTCACTTAATGCACCCAAAACTTTTTTGCATGAAATGATTTTAAAACATGTTTATACTAAAGCTGAAAGGGAGAAATAAAAAAGAAAAGGAATACAAAAACAGGCTCAGCATTTAGGTAAAGTATTCCAGAAGGGTAAGACCAAAGGCTGAAGTCCTCTGTTTATTTGCAGAATGCATGAAGTGTGATGTAACCTTCCTCCTTTCACCATGTCTCTACTGCATCACTGCTGAGACGAGGATATAATTCACCCCTGCACCACTTGGCTTCTTGGTCTCTGTTAGAGCGTCTACATGAGATGCTAACTGCGTAATAGCCTAATAACACTGTGCAGTAGTGTGCTGGGAAAACCCATGCTAGTATGCTACTGCTCAGTAGTATTAGGCTACTACTACTAGGCTCCTGAAGGAGGTGGATTTTGATATTATCCCAAAATGAGGTATTCTACATCTATTGACCCTATCTAAATATGTACAACTGCATTTTCTTGTGCTAAGACTCTCTGGATTCTCCTTGAAAATGAAGATGGGGCAAAAGAAATGGAGATCTTCAAAATTCAGACTATATCCCAGCCTATGCTGTAGGTTGTTAGATTACAGGTATTAGAGGGACTGACTGAAGTCAGGTAGGATGCGATTACATTTCATGAGGCACAAAGCAGGAACAAATACAGCTACAAAACAGTCTCGGTTTCTCTTGTTCAGTGGAGAGGACGCAGCACAGAAATAGCTCAATTTATCAGCCAAGAGCACATGCCACATCTGTTATGGGAATCAGCATGTTACCCAAACATTATATTTGCATTTATTATATTAAAAAAAAAGTCTCTATGCAAAATGGGGTTTTCCTAACACATCTCCCACTCAAGTATTAACTAGGTCTGTTTTTTTTCCAACAAGATTGTTTCCTGAAGTGGCACAAAACTGTCTGAACCTCCCAAATAGTAGCATGTTTCTTTTGATTTCTCTGCCATTGTGGTTTCTGCTCTTTCTTGTCTCTACAGTATCCCAGATACTGTTTGCTTGTGGCAATTTTATCTGATACTGAATGGTACGGTTGTATTGTGATCTTGTCCACTGATCTCACAGATGACTTCAGCCAAATCTCTTCTCCTCTGTGACAGTCTCTCCACTAGTAAGGTGAAGAAAATTACAGTGACTTTCCTTGTAGAGCATTGTGTAATTTTCTGATGAAAAGTGCCCTGTAATAATAAAGACCTGGAAGTCATTCTAAAGTGAATACTGTGGTCTCCATAGTGAAACAGCAGACGAGAGTTGTTCCCCAAACCACTTAGAAAGTTAAGACACCTCCTTCTGTGTAGTATGACAGGCAGCATTTAAATCAGTGGGGTAGAGTGGAACCATATTAAGCTTACACATAGTACAACTTGGGTCCCCGTGTCACTGCACTGATTTGTCTGTATCAGTTCACAGGGAATTCATTTACAGGAAAATGTAAATATAAGTCTGAAAATGTTGAGTTAAAAGAAAAAAAAGTACCATAGCAATAATGTAATTTATCATAGTCAAAGGTCAATTGAAGCCAAGTGGTTCATTGGGCTAATACAATTAAAATGCACCAGTTCCTGTAGGCAGTGGTGCTTCATAGTTAGCATTGTGTGCAACTGCTTTTCACCCCATGACTGAATCACCAGAGACCCATTTAGAGCTTGGTCAACTGAGTGCAGGCTTTAGTACACCATTGAACTCTCACCTCTGGAGCTGTAACAGAAAGCTGGATCTGCTCTGCCATCATTATCCTCCCCATTGGGTTATATTCAGTGTTGCAATCTTGAAGCACTACAGTGAGTTCAGCCTTACTGAAAGCAATTTGCATTTCTGTATATTTATATCCTCTCTTTCACTTGAGATCATTTTCACACTCACCATTCATAATGGAAAAACAAGCCAGGAATTCGGAGTCAAGAACATTCTAATAGAGGAGAAGACAAACAAAAATTTAGCAAGGATAAGTACCCAGACCTAAAAATGACTTGCAGGACCCTAATGAATATAATTGTTCCAAAGAATACACAATTCCATTTCACATAGACATATTTAGGGTGGGAGAAACTCTTCTGAAGCTGTTATTCCCTACTTCAGATGACAAATGAGCTTCTGTTTAATCTTAGACTCATTAGTCATTGTTTTATCAGATCTGCAACTACCCATAAAAGTCACTGATTTAATAAAGTGAGAAAAAATTCCCTTTGATTTTTCTATTTCTAAACCACTTAATTTGATTATTTCAGAATTGCCAAGGGCAGCTCACTGTAACCAGCCCTATTCTGCATGTACTTCTTCAGAATGTGTTAATTTCATGTTTCACCATCTACATTTTCTGTTCACTCCAGTTCTTTACTAAGCGTAAATTGAGGTAGTTCCATTATTTTCAGTGGGGTTATTCCAGTTTACACCAATTGAGGATTTTGACTATAAAGGCAAAAGGCAACTTTCAGCTTCCCTTTTAACAAAGTCACTTAAGGAAAGTATTGGCAATAAATAATTAGTTGGCAACATACATTACCAAAAATATTGATTTTTCTTCCCTGAATATCTGTATTCTTCCATTTGTTTTTATTTATGCCTTTTCTTCTAATTAACTTGGAGCTACTTCTACTCAGAATTTACCCTGGGTGTTCTAGCACTACGGAAATGGGCTGACCTGTTATTACAACATGTAATTCAGAAACTAGTAATAATTCAGTCCTAAATCTGGAGACTATTACAAAAAAGCCACAGAGTCCTATAGTAACTTGCCTGATTTAAAGAACAAATCAGTTTTATTGCCTACCATGTATTTACATTTCTGTTCCTTATGTCACATTGTTATCCCATCGGAGCTGGGACATAATAGCAAATTCTAATGGAAGGGGGAAAAAAGAACATTTAGTTTGCGTTCTTGACCACCTCCGAATTCTGATCCTACTGTAAAGAGATACTTAATAAACATGTCTAACTTTAAATATATGAGTAGCCCCCAGAGAATTCAGTCAATGCAACTTGCCTGCTTTAAGTTAGACAAAACTACAGATATATTGATTGAATAGGTCCTGGTTCAGTAACAGAAAGGCATCATAACTTATCCTCCTTCAGGCAAATCTTCTTTGAAAAATCTTAAGTCAATGTAGACCCTGGAATTACTTAATTGTAGTTTTGTCAGGAAGTAATTGGTGTCATTAGTACAATGCTAGACTGCTATTGCTCCACATCTGCTCTTCCTTTTGTTTCCATCCATGTCTACTAAATAGTCAATCAAGACCCTCATGACTTTGTGTATTGAAGACTGCCTAATCCAGAAATACTTGCTTGACCCAAGTCCTTGAGCAGTAAGTCAGAATTCTTCAATAAGAAGTGAGATGGCCAAAAAAAAAGGAAGCTAGGATTTGCAAAGGAGTCTGAGGGGTGTACTTGGTAGCCATGTTGGTTTGAGACAAGAAGACATACAAAAAAACTAGAACTCTTGGTTCCAAAATGATACCCTTTTATTAGACCACCTGGAAAATCGCAAGAAAATTGTCCTTGCGATTTTCTTGCTATTTCCCAGTTGATCAAATAAAAAGTATCATCTTCGAGCCAAGCGTTCTAGTTTTTTGTATGTCCAAAGGAGTCTGAGGAACTTTTTCAGATCTGTGGGGAGCTGGAGGAAAAGCAAAGGCAACGTTGGACCCCTACTGAACCAGATGGGGCAACTGACAACTGACGCCCAAGAAAAAGCCAACCGATTACATGGGTACTTTGCGTTGGTCTTTCATCAGTCCCGTGGGATGCCCATGCCCACTACGGGACAGGGAGGTCCAGGTGAGGGAGTCCCCTGCCCTCTGTCAATGCTGAC